TCTGAAAGCTGCTTTTTACAATCACACACCCATTATAGTTGCACCTAAATGAATGAAAATGATCTATCTGCCTGATAAGTAGCTAATTACCTTGCATAATAAAAAAAGCACATCATTTAATGATCCAAAAACAGTGAATAGGATTTTGACATTTAGATAGCATCAGTGGTGGGTTTCAAATTTTTTTACTACCGGTTCTGTGGGTTTGGCTTGGTAGGCGTGACATGGCTTGGTGGGTGTGGCTTAGTGGGCATGGCGGGGCAGAATACTGTAAAATCTCCATTCCCACCCCACTCCAGGGGAAGGATACTATAAAATCTCCATTCCCTCCCCAATCCAGGAAAATGTTACTACAAAATCCCCATTTCCTCCCAATCAGCTGGGACTCAGGAGGCAGAGAATAGATGGGGGCGGGGCCACTCAGAATTTTTACTACTGGTTCTCAGAACTACTCAAAATTTTCACTACCAGTTCTCCAGAACTGGTCAGAACTTGCTGAAACCCACCTCTGGATAGCATGTAACCTGGGCTAAGCTTGGCCCAGGATCTTTTTTGAGCTTAGAGGTAATGCTTTAAAAGTAAATCAAACGGGGAACATTTATTTGATTAGAGTGGACGCATTTTAAAAAAACAAACCAAAACCCGTAAAAATTTATATAGTGACGTTTAAAGCAAGAGAACAAATCATGTTTTATTCTTAATCAGAGGTGATGTGATGTGATATGGTGTGATTAAATAAACTGGGTGCTTATTTGATTTTATTTTAATTTAAAATCCTCAATCCATTTCTAATCATAGAAAGCTACATTTGGCCCTAAGTACAGATATGGATCTTTGGGTATACAGCTGAATGAAAGCAGTTTTTACAAGCACCATAATGTAGATTAATGGGGTTATCCATCTGGATGTTCATTTTATGGGTAAAACTCGGTTCTTTTGGATAGAAAAAAAAATCCTTGGTTTTTATTCCTACCTATTTAATTATTGATTTCAGCTGCGTGAAGCTTGTATGTATTTTGTTTCTACACATTGATTGGGCAACATACATTTTTCTTTTTAAAAATTGCTATTAATGTTCTGTGAGATTTGTGCAGTAATCTGGTTATTTTCATTAAATTTTTCAATTAATATTTGATTTTGAAATAACAAGAGGGAAGTAATACCCACAGATCAACCTTTGCTTTTAGAGCAAGTGAACATATAAATGTTACATGATGCTGCATTTGCAAAGCTTGAAGCACTAAGGCCTATATTTTATTTATAGTACAAGCTTTGTATTCTGGGTAAGATACAGTGTACTCCATCTGCAGCACTCTAGTTGTAACTAATCTTCGTCAAGTCAGTCTATTTCATTGTCAAAGGCAAGCTTTAATGAAACAATTAATTCTTTTTTCACCTCTGTAGAATTTTCAGAATGAATACCTCATTTAAATTCTAGTCTGAGGCTGTATTTAAAAAATGAAAGCAGTACTATCTGCCACAAACATTGCCTTATTTCTTCTCATATCATACTGAAGATAGCAAGATAATCAAGAGAAGATAAAATAAAGACACTTTCTGGGAGGTGAAGGCATGATTGTAGGATCAGTGATGAATTTAGCTTCAGTTCTGAATAGATCTGGAATTTTTTTCAAGGGTTTTTTTTTTTTTTTTTGCTCTCAATTTATTTTTCCTTTCTCTTCTGCACAAAAATCTTGTTCAGTTATAAAGTGATGTGATGAACCTCTTGAGGTAAATATGATTACGCCTAGAAAGGCCACTTAACCAGTCTGGGATTAAATGAAAATATTCAAAATGGGCATGTTTACATTTTTTATGTTATAAATTTTTTATTTGTTTTATTATATAAAATACAAAGAAAAAATAAAAATAAAAATAGGAAAGGAAAGGAAGGAAAGGAAAAGGAGCGGGGAAAAGGGGATATGATATAAGAAAAAAAAAAGGCATTGACTTCCAACTCTTCTTAGCACAGTACAAGATAAAAACATTCTAACCTCAACTTTTTGCTTTTACACATTAATATATAACTAGCCATTTCTATAATGACAAAGTCTTTCTGATCAACAAAACCAAAGTCAAAGTTTCATTTTTTTTTATCACAAATACAAAATCCAGAAGTGATATCCAAATGAGAATAAAATAATCAATTTAACCATTCCTGCTTTATCTTCCTTGCTATGGAAATAGTATGATTACATTTTTTAGTGGAATAGCACCTGTTGAAAGGCAAGAGAAAGGAACAAACCACATTATTAATACAGGGACAGTGATGAGAAAGGGAGGGACATGTTGCTAGTCCTCCATATAATAGAAAGACAAAATAGAACATCTGAAAGGTATGATAGGCTGCTAGTTATTTTCCAAGTCCTGCTATGCTGCCTCACTGTGGTAAAATAATGCATGAGGTCTGTTGGGAGTGTACACCAATAATGCATACTCCCAGTAGGGCCAACTCATCATGTGAAGGTCATCTCAGCTGCTAAAAGGAACAGGCACTTATATTGCAGTAGTGATAACATACTTGCAAAGGAAGATAATGGCAAACCACTTCTGTATTTTTCAACAAAGTCACATTGATCAACAAAATAGAGCAATTGTTGATATAGTGCTAGATGATGGGCTTCGGATCAGAGGGCACTCACCACTGAGGAAGAATTGTAGATCTTTAGAAACCTAATGGTATTTGTGATGCAGATGAAAGCCTTCCATATGTCCAGTTGCTAATGTTACAATGCAAGAAAAGAAAGCCCAAAGTTGAAAAAGACAGAATCGCCATAGGAATATGGAGAGAAGTAGCATGGACATTTGAAAATTCAATACAATGAAAGATGAAATGAATCAACTACAGACTAACATTATGGATATCATCCAAATTGAAAAGATTGGAATTGGACACTTTCCATAAGAAGATTATGCTGTTCACTATTCAGGGCATGAAAAACAAAGAAGAGAATTGTACAGCTTTCATAGGAAGACTATAATAATGGAGTACTGTGCTTGGGTACAGTGCAGTCAATGATTCAACAATATCATTAAAATTTCTGGGCATCCATTTACTATTCTTATTCAAGTTGATGCTCCAACTACTGAAGCAAAAGAAGCGGAATTTGAATAGTTTTATGGCTGGTTTGAAACCGACACAATATGCAAGTATGTGCTGTTGAGGATGAAGACCAGAAAGCGAAGATGGAAACAGTAAGGATCAAAATGTAACTATATTACATGGCTAATGAAACAGAATAATGACTTACCAGTATCTTCCAATCCAGTCTTGTTTTTATACTAATATAGTCTTCAAACAACGAAACCAATGTCTAGAAACATGGATGGAACACACAGAAATGAAATAAAATTGATACAAAGAAGAGTTCAGTTATATAGTAATAGAAAAGATGTAACTGAGCTATGTGTAACAAAACACAAACTTCTCAAATCTTTTGGATTCAAATGAAGTTAAAGTGGAAGAATAAAACCAACCAATTTCAAATATATTGGATACAATATATATCCATAATTTTCAAGGACAACGTGAAGAATTGCTTTGAAACTGTGGACCTCATGGATAAGAAACAGAAGAACTGTGAAATGAAATGAAATTATTAAGTATAAAAGTGAAAAGAGATTGCAAAAGATCAAAAAATTGGAGAAAGCAAGCTGTAGTATATGGTGATATAGTCGAACTATGTGCTGTGTTTTGTTCTGACTGCATCTTTCAGAGAATCTTCTGTCCTGTATTATATGGTGTGATAGTTTTGATACTTGTTCAGTTTATGTTATATGATGATGAGGCACTGCATTCACTAGTACCTGAAAAAATGATGAAAATAATGATTTGGGTTAAGTAGGCACTGAGCATAGACATACCACAATAAAAGTTTATGCATATGTTGATATATTATATCAATTTCCTAAAGTTTCAAAGTTATTTCAGTATATTTTGACTCAGATATGGACTCTGTATATAACTGAGTCCATATCATTCTAATATCTATGAATTTTAGCCTGTTGTACCATGAACAATCAGTTATGTATGCAACCTTTATATGTTGCTATTTTGCAAAATGAGATTCAGTATTAATGCATACAAATGTTGCAAATTTGGTACTTTTATAAAAATGTTCATAGTTCTACTATTGCACTAAACCAAAGTGGGCTTCATAACCAATTTCAATGGGGAAAAATTGTAAAAGAGGCACAAATATGAATTATTTTAACAGTGCATTCATGTCTATTGAGAACTCTGCTGAATTTCATAGGATCCATATCCAGGTCAATAGAATTACATGAGAACCGTCCGTATAGGATTCATATTAACTAGGGCAGATGACATGTGGTGGGGTGACTTTTCCTCTCACTTTCAATAGGCATGTCCAGGGAGTGTTAAGGCTATGAAATTGAGCATCCACATCTTCCATTGGTCTGCTTCTGATTATTCCCCCTCCCGCTACCCAGTGGTGGGTTGCTACTGGTTCGCACTGGATCGGGCAAACTGGTAGTGGCAGCGGCGGAAGGCTCCACTCACCTGCCCGGATGCTTCTGTGTATGCGCAGAAGCGCCCCATGCGCACACGAGCAAACTGATAGCAATGGGATTTGGAACCCGCCCCTGCCACTACCATATATATACAGTGATGATAGTAGAATTTTTTTAATCATTGTATTAAGAGGTTTTCCATTGACAAAGCTTTCTCCCTCCCTTCCATTCCAATGGTGCCTCTGGCTCCTGATTTTTATTCTATGAAGTTTAGGATCTTTCTGGTATCATATATTTTCATCTGGTCTCTAAGTTCATTAGTTTACTTTACTTGCAAAGATGCCCGAAAAAGGTTAAATGATTTTTTTTTGTTTTAGAAAAAGAAAATATAGCTCATTATTTTAAATTAATATGAATCTAAAGTATAACTGTCAATTTCTTTAGCCTAAGAATAGATGAGTAGTGAATGATTTTGTGTACTTTAATTGTGTTGCTATATATTATCAGCTTTCTCTTCTGTTACAAAGGGTATCATTCAAGATGCGAAAGTCATCTTTATGCCTAATGGATATATAACTCAGTGTCCTAATCTGAATCGCAGTAAGTAGCAGTTTATATTTAGCATATTAAGTTATATTTATATTGCTTAACGTACTGTGTTTTGCAAACCTTGTTGATTGTTGTTAAAGCATGTGATAATCCCAGGTTATGCGTGAGGAATTAATATGCATTTTTTTTCAGTTCAAGGCAAGAAAGTACATACGATGAAGGCTGCATATATTATATGAAGTGATATAGTCCTTTAGGGCCCACCCCAGCTTCAAAAAAATCATCTGTTTTATTCACCGGGAGGAGGGGGTGTCACATACATTTGTTTATGTTTTTAGGAAATTGCTTTTATCATCGAGTTTGAGAATTCATGTGTATGCCCTTCTGCAAACAGCCTTCACCATACTGCTAAAATAGATTGTAATTCATTCTTAGTCCCTCTTTTCCCTCCTTGTTTTTTGCCTTCCTCATTCATTCTTCAGGAAATAGAGTGTTGTTTTTCTTCCAGACTATAGATAACAAGGAGAATATAACTCCTAGACTTAGTACTCCTATATGATAATGTGCATTTTATATAAAACATGGATATTTATTTTCTAAATTGAATTTATCATAAAGCTGAATTATAGCTTCCTAGACAACTGTTTTCTTTCTTTTTCCACATATTGCCACCTTTTTTAATGCCTTTAGGCAGGGAAGTCATCAGCATTCTTAAGAAGCAAAAGAACTAAGATACTCTTACATGGTGATTGTATCATATGCAGTTTACTCATAGTTTAAAGCTAAAGGTTTCCCCTGTCCAGTCATATCCAACTCTGGAGGGCAGTGCTCATGTCTGTTTCTTAGCTGAAGATGCCAGTGTTGTCTGAGAAGGCTTCTGTGGTCATGTGGTCAGTGTGACTATATGTAAAGGCACACAGAACACTGTTACCTTCCCACCAAAGTGGTATCTGTTTATCTACTTGCATTTGCATGCTTTCTTACTAATTGGTGGCCAGGGGGCAAATGATGGGAGTTCACCTGCCATGCAGCACTCGGGTCGAACCCAGATTGTCAGCTGACAAGCTCAGCATTTTTAATCACTGAGCCATCGTGCCCCCATTGTTTACTAACATATAACCAAAGTATTTGGGAACCTTGGAAAGGAATTTAAATAAGTGATAGGTTTCCATGCAGTGGGTATGTTCAACTAGAGGCTGGTAGTCATTTATTAGGAAATGTTTTAATTTGGATTTCTGCACTGAGCAAGTATTGCTATTTTACTTGCTATTCTACTTGCTATTCCCTAATGAGGCCTTCCAATTTTGTAACTCTATGTTTCTAAAATAACAAATATTTTGAGTGTTTTTGTATGATATTGCCAAATCCTTATTTTTATAAAGGGAAATCATTTAATATTAAAATTTCATTTGGAAGTTTTGGAATTTTTAAATTAATCCATTGGTAACCAGTGATTCTTAAGTTTTTATAAGAAGTTAATAATATTGCCTCTTCATTAAATTTGCCCTATGGCTGATTTATAGCATTGGGAATCTTTATGACTGTTACTCTTTTCAACAAAAAACTTCCTATAGTAAGGAATAAATAAAGGGCAAAAGCATCTGTGCCATCATGAAAAGAATAACATAAGCTATTCTGACTTCAGATAAAAGCAGAATGTCTTGCTTTTTGTTAAGAAATATCTGTCTATCATGAATAAAGGTACTCTTTGCCTATCCTTCCTGGTTAGGATCCTTCCTAGTCAGGATCCTTCCTGGTTAGGATTAAATCTTCCTTCTAAGATTTAATTGCAGAAATGTTTTTGGTTAGAATCCTAGTCTATTTGCATGTGGATTTGTGTGTATATCAACAAATCACAATGTTAAAAGTACACATTGAGATTATCTCAAGTAATGTAGACCTAAAGTCCTTTAAGAGATATATGCAGTTTCACATTCTGCTTCATTATTTTGTTAGTCCAAATGTTCTTCTGGTCCTCAGGATTATAACCATTATAATTGCATTTCTTCTGCGAACTGATTTCCGAGCAACAGGACAAAAATAGCAATGGAAAATTAGAATTTGCAATTAAAATTGGTTAACTTTCAATTAACAGTGCAAATAAAATGAATATAGAAACCTATTGTCTAAATTTTGCAATTTAACTGTAGACCTCTGCCCATTCGGTTTACCTTATATAAATTGATAGTTATCCAATAATTACTCTACATTTATTATTCAATTTTGCAGTAGAAGTACATCCATATTTTTCCCCTTCCAAGCTCCTTTTGGAATGACAACAGTGGCTTTTCAGAGCTAAACCAACCTGGAGGCTATGCTTCTTCATATCTGGTTGGTTAGGCATGGAAATGCCAATTATTGCTTGGAGCAGCATCAAAGGCATTTTGCTGGTTTATGTCAGATTGCTTCTCATTCATGATGGTGGTGGGTTCTTCTAGGCAAGTAGTAGGCAATAAGCGTGGAGAATACAAATTGTGAACTGTGAACATTACCTATTCAAATGAGAAAGACAATAGGCTTACATAGCAACAGCTTGTTTCACCATGGTAGTAAGAAAAGGGGAAAGCATTTTGATCAGGCTTTCAAAACCGTAATAGTGCCCAGTGTCATTCATCTATAGATTTCCTAATCTAACAGTTACGATGTTCCAATCAATATCTGTTTGGCTTCTAAACGTTAAACACATTGTGTTTTATATCTTTGTTCAGTCTGGTTTTTAATACTACGATATTTATTCTTTCTTTTTATTGAGCCTGCCCTACCTGCAGTGACTTCTTAAGCCTGGTACAAGGAATTATGGATTTACAAGAACTTCTGGCTAAAATGACAGCAAAAGTAGGTACCTGCCTCTTACTCACAATTTTTAATCCAAGTTGCCATTTCCTCCATCTGTTAAGACCACTATGTATTTCTCCACTGTTTGTCAATGGGTTTCAGAAGTCTTCAAACTTGTCAGCTTTAAGACTTGTGGACTTCTCCAGCCAGCTATGCTGGTTGGAGAATTCTGGGAGTTGAAATCCACAAGTCTTAAAGCTGCCAAGTTTGGGAACCCCTGACTTTATTTGAACTTAATCCATATTATAAGAACTTATTAAATCAGATCGAGAGTCCTGAGAATTGATAAAGGAGAAAAATTGTAGCTCCGGGTTGAAATGAGAGGTTCTTGATACACTCTGAATTTGGTTGTTTTCTTGCAGATGTTTCATTACCCAAACTAGGTAACATCACTAGTGCTCAAAGCATTGATGATATCATCTAGTAAGGAAACATCTGCAGGATCTGAGAGTGTCACAAAACTGTCTGCAAATAAGCATTTCAATACTCTGGCAAGTATGTTCTGTCCATATCCTGGCTGTTGTTTAAGACGAGGGGGAAGAAGATGGAAGCAAAGAGAAAGAATAAAAATGGGGTGGAACCAATAGCTTGCTCTGCCATCAGTTGGTCTGTATACTCTATGTGTGTTTCATAATGCTTTGAATTGACTGTGGGTCTAGAGAAAACAAGGATTTTTTTCTATTGTAATAGAAAATGTTAATTGCATGGAATTGTGCTATATTGTAGACAAACCTGTGGTTCATTATAGACCATTGTTGGATGAGTCGGATGTAGGATGAGTCTACCAGAATAATCAACATTTACGTATGATAAAGCAGAGAAATGACTGCTACGGTTATAAAACATTGTTATGAATCCTGCTGATTTCAGTAAAAGGTATATTATCTGAGACTAACCCATTGAACATACACATAGAATATTTCTGAATAAACATGTGCAGACTTGTAGTATTGTTTCCAACTGAAAACAGTGGAATTAAAATTTAAAAGTTCTTGGCCTTTTTGTTTTAAATAAAAGCTTTGAATGAAAAGTATACCAGGCTGCAGAGTCTGCATGAATTTACAGATATAGATCTTGTTTTAGTGTTCATTTTTTTTCCTTAGATTGTTTATTGAAGCTCCATCTTCATTTAAGTATGCCCTATTTTTACAGCATGGTTTGAAAAGGGTTGTTTGGAAAAAGAAAAATATTAGATTTCACCTCATATTACTGCAAGAAAGTAAGACAATTCTGAGGCATTCTAGTGGATTTAATGTATGCTGAGTCAGTCCTAATTGAGTGACTTGTAATTTTAATTTAGCAAATGGCATATTACCAGGGGTGAAATCCAGCAGGTTCTGACAGGGTCTGGAGAACCGATAGCGGAAATTTTGAGGAGTTCAGAGAACCGGTAATGGAAATTTTGAGTAGTTCGGAGAACCGGCAAATACCACCTCTGGCTGGCCCCAGAGTGGGGTGGGAATGATGTTTTACAGTATCCTTCCCCTGCCACACTCACCAAGCCACACCCATTAAGCCACACTATGCCCACCAAGCCATGCCCACAGAACCAGTAGTAAAAAAAAAAAGGATTTTACTACTGCATATTACATTGTTTCTATTTTTATTAATGAATACAGAATCCATGTGTTACTTTTGTTTCAACAGTCCCTGTGGGACAGGGATGGGTTCTAGTTACCTTTACTACTGGTTCGTATCGTGTCCACGTGCACTCTTCTGCGCGTGCGCAGATCTACTTTGATGACGTCTGGGTCAGTGGGCAGAGCCTCCCGCCGGTTTTACTACCGGTTCTTGTGAACCGGTCCAAACCGGGGGCAACCCACCACTGTGGGATCTATCAAGTCGGCAACATGAAAGACAGAGAATCACAATGGAAACCCTGTCCATTTTTTTGTATGTTTCAAAGGGCAAGGGCTTCCATTGGATGTTCTACCTTATTGCTGATGTTGATGCTTCCCTGCAAACACTATTAAGTAGTGACTATGAGTCATCTTTTGTATTCTCCCACCCACATTAATTCTGAATAGGGTGGTGCACCAAGAACAGACAAGAAAAATGTGTGTGTGTCTGTCTGTGTGTATGTTGTGTTGTATATATTCCTTAATAGTCTTTTCATAGCCTTTAAATAGACTTAAAAGGCATTTTGCAATGCCTTTTGCAAAAGAAAGAACAATTGATTCTCTTTTGCAAAAGAACAATTGCTTCTCTCATCATTAATTTGGTCTTTAACATCACAGTATAGAATCTAATAAATGCCAATAAATAATGCTAAGTATTCCAACAATGCATTCTGGAAAGATACCCAGATGGGCTTACTAAACTTTTAGAAGCCGTTTAGGGTGCCTAATAATCACTAAAAGTACATTTTATTTTAAATTGGTCCATATTTTCAAGTAAATATTTTGAAGCAACATTGCTTAATTATGAATAAAGATAGTACAACATTTTAATAAATGTTAATGCAGAAATGTTTTGATGGTGAAATGTTTGCATTGGAAGAGGGGTAGTCTTATACGGCGAGTATAGCCCAAACCCTATATTTTAACAGGAAAAGTCGGTGGTCGTCTTATACGCCCAGTCGTCTCATACGCCGGAAAATACAGTATTTGGTTTATCAAAGAATAATGACTTTTGAAGCATAAAATAAAGTTTTGGACTCAGGGGAGCTTTAAAATCCCATCTGATGATGAACTTGAATCACTTACAAATTTAGAAAAATCATATCAGAGTTAAAAAAAAATTAACAACACAGCTAAAAACATACCATCATTTAATAAATGCATATTGCCATTTATCTTCCCAAGTCTAGAATTTGTGCTGATTTTATGGTTCTATATTTTAAAAAGATGTGCCTACATAGAGGGCATCCCAGGTTGACTATCTGTGCTCAGAAGACAAACAGATCCAGGCCCGGTGAATGAATTTCACAACATCGGAAGTTGGACTGAAAAAGGTGAAGGGAAAAAAAAACACCTGAAAGAAGATAATAGGCGACACTCTTATATATTCTGTACACTTATGCAATTTTTATAAAAATATATCCATGAATCTTTTTGAGAGCTACAGAGAAATGTAAAATTCAAGAAGGTAGCACTTCAGTGAAGGATTGCAGATCACTTTTCATATCACTTGATAAGTATTGCAAATCACTTTTGTAAATGATGCATTTTCCTCCATAAATTGTATATGATTAAGGAGTGTATGCATTAGGTTTGATTCAGAATAGATACTGCCCAGCTACAAATAAGGCCTTTCAAGTCAGATATGAAAACTATAATCAGAATATTATTTTCTGTTTTTTTCTGTTCTATTGTGCTTTATATAATTCAGATTTGAAACATACACAACAGCTTTAGAAGATAGTTTTATAAATCTTGTACAAGTGACAATTGAGTGAAAATGGGACATATTATCATAGCATAGGCCTAAAATAGAAAATAATGTGAATTTATACAAAGTGCAATATAATACATCTTAATGGATCTTTCTCTGGCAGTTTCAGTAAATAATTCTGTTAGCCATTTGAGAATTGCATCTGATATAGAATTTACGTCATAAGTATTAAATGCAGAATCAATATAGAGTTCTAGATTCTTCACACTGTGCCTATGATCAAAAGGGTCCTAGGCAGAGAAGATTGTTATACAATGTGCAATTTCATATCAATTAGCAGATTGAACCAAATTATTTCTGCCTTCTTTTGAACTTGCAGTGAATTTTTTACAGTGTAAAACTGAGATATATAGCTTGGAGCTTATATTAATACCTGAAATTCTTATTAATGCTGGACATTCTTCTTTTATTTATGTATGTATGGGTTGGTGGATAGGTATGCATACACATACACACACACACATACACACACAGAGTGTCAAACTGGCAGGCCAGATGTGTCACACACAGGCCATGCCCACCCCAGCTCCATGAATAGGAAAAATGTCACGAAACGTTACATGACAGCAACGTGATGCTGTGAGTCTATAGCACACCTATGCTATAGAGCCAGCCATGACCCCTAAATGACTCCACAGGGATCCAAAAGTATAAAATCCACCCACTCTCAACTCCATTTTGGTCAGCTGTCCCAGAACTGCATGCTGTGTATGTGTGTTGTTTCTGTTCACCAATAAACAGAAACTTTCTTTCCAGTCAGCCTCCATTTTATTCCTGGCTTGGAACTGGAACTGGATTTTTCTTTTAACAATACATACTCACAAATACATATATGTGTAATGTTATTTTTAACTTTTTTTTCTTTTAAAAAAAGTTTAATGTCATCACTAACAGTGTTACACCAAAAAATTCAGCTGTTCGCCGGACTAATAGTAGTAGTGATAATATCACTACTTCGGTCCTTCGGGAGTCCTTTGGGAGTCCTTTGGGAGTCCTTCGGGAGTAGAGTGGTATACAAATTCAATAAAATAAAATAAATAAATAAATCACCACTGTGGCAGTGGTGGGTTGCTCCTGGTTCGGCCTTGTTCAGCCGAGCTGGTAGTGGTGACGATGTGACGTCACCGAACCGGTTCTCTTTGTTTGGGAGCTGGGCCCTCCTGCATGCCCCCATGTTATTCCTACCTTTATTTCTTCTTTTTTAGCCCAGCTGATAGGCACAGCAGTGTGGATTGCTGCATCTCAGCTGGGCAGAAACCTAACGCACGTGCGAGCTTTGTTCGCACGCACGCAATGATTGCGAGCAAAGCGTGTGCACGAAGAGAACTGGTGGTAACGCTGGTTGGAACCCACCACTGGAGTGTGGGTACTACTTTTTGATAATTACAAAACCTGTTTTGAATGGGTCAGTGTCTACATATATTGATAATGCTAAAACAGGTACGTTTGATTTACATTAACGGCAATTCACACAGTTTTGCAAATCCTTCAAATACTTTGGAATTGAGAGCACATTTAAAGCACATTTTTTGATATATATTTTTTTAAACAAAAGTCTTTTTCCAGGGTTTTGTGGCTGCATTGAATCTGCTCCTAATTCCCAAAGAAGTATTTTCTCCTACTGCATGTTAAAGCTTTCCTTTTAGAGAAAATTTGTACAGCTTGTCAGTGAAATTGGCTTTCAGCAATTTGTACTGTATTAACAAGCAGCAAAGGAAGCAACATTTTCTTCTCTTCAAGGTAAGCAAGAGAAGCAAGAGAAATTAGGAGCAATTGATTTCACCATGGCCTGCAATAGCAGGTTTTCTTGAGAATGCTCAGAATAGGGCTTTGTATGAGCTGATCAGATGCTATATATAAGTGTCTACTTCTAGACACCTGTATCTTTGTAATTGCAAACCCACTGTTCCTAACCCCACTGATATTTTGTTTGTGCAATTCTGAAATGACCAGAAATCATACTCCTTTCTTTCTCACCCGATAATTTATTTTGATTATCTGTCAGAAACTTGGCTATGGAGGTGGCAAACTACTTATGTAGTAGGCTATGGACTTATGTGAACTATTCAGGCAGAAGCTTTAGTATTTTCAATTGAAAGAGCTCAAGAAACAGTAGATCTGGATATACAAATAGAATAGAACAGAACAGAATTCTTTATTGGCCAAGTGTGATTGGACACACAAGGAATTTGTCTTGGTGCATATGCTCTCAGTGTACATAAAAGATACATTCATCACATAAGGTACAACACTTAATGATATATAAAACTGTTCAGAACACTCCAGCTTAAGGGGAATCTGGAAGTTGGAGAGCTGAGTAGGGAAAGAGATTCAATTTGTCATTGAGTGCGAGATGCCTTCTTTGACAAACTATGATTTTCAAAAGGTCTTCTCATATTCATTGAATATCTGGAAGCTCTTGCTTTTTATGGCTTTCTTAATGAATAAAAAAGTAACATTTAAAGAAATTAATTGAATAATTATGTTTTGTTTGTATTATATAGTATGATCACCTTATATGAGGCATTTATACGTGTTGTTCTTTTCCAGCCTCGATCATAATTAGTGCTTGGTTTGTATTATTTTGATTGTAAATTTACCTCTTAGCCAGTTGCTATTGTCTGCTTCCTTCTCATAGAATTTCTTACTTCAGCGGTTTACATGAGTTCCTGAAATTAAATCAAGTAACTTTCTTTTATAGCTAAATTATGCAGAAATGAGACTTAGCCAGTTGGAAAACTGTCACTGTGAGAAGACTTGCCAAGTAAATGGAATCATCTACCGAGACAAAGACTCATGGGTAGAAGATGATCACTGCAGAAATTGCACATGTAAAGTAAGACACTTCTAACTTATCTATGAGGATAAAGCAACTTATTACAATTTGATATCGGTTCGTGGGTAGATCATATTAATTCGGTAGTAACCTTCACAAAAAGCAATATGTAGGTCTCGATTAGTGTGGTTAATGAATCTTATGAAATGCTTGCATTATTTGAATTCACACTATTCAAAGTTATATTTCTATGGGAAAGAAGATGATTGGTTCCACTCGATAGAAGTAGGTGAGGAAAAAAATTAAACATAAATTTCTATATGCATAATAATGAAAGATTACAGTAAAGGATAAAAAATACATATAATTTAAATTTACAAGAAGTTATAGAAAGGAAAATTAAAAAAAATGTATTGTAGATTCAGACATTCCAACATCTCATCCTGTTTTAGTGTTGCTATAACCACGTTTTATGTCATTCAGTGATGTCAAATTTTTGCTCTGATGTATTAAGGATCCTCTTCTTACAATAACAGAATTTTGGGTTGCATTAAGTGCAACTTGGTACCAATTTACAATTTTGTACTAAATGGAATATCGTATCACGTTACAGGTAGTCTTCCACTTATGATGCTTAACAACCATTCAAAGTTATAATGGACCTCAGAGCTACTTATAAACCCTTTTCAAAGTTAAAACTCCTTCCCCCCAAGAAACACAGTCAAGTGATCTCAGCTTGGGCACTTGCCAACCAGGTCACCTTTATGGCCATTTGCAGCATCTCATAGTCACAGGACAGTGGTTTGTAATTTTTTTTTTTGCCAGTTTCTAGCATTCACTTCTAGGTGCCAGCTATTGAGGAAAATGGATTCGCTTAAATATTGTGCTCAGTGACCGTGGCATTTGCTTAATGACTGCAGTGTTTGCACTGCAAAAAAGTCTAGCCATGATGCCTTGATTTACAAATGAAATTATTTATTATTGTAATTCTGGGTTTAGTTATAGTCATAAATTAAGAACTACCAATATTAATTTGACACTAATTGTGACCTACCTGTGTAACATAAAGAAGAAAACAAAAAGTTTACTACTTAAATTATATTAGAAGGATTTATACATTTCAGAGCTTTCAGTGCACAGTTAAATGGCCTCTTTGTGATCACGGGAAAAAGAAACATTAATATTATGCTTAAGTTGTAATGTACATGACAGAAATATATATATATATATTATGTTACTAGTATTTATCATTTTGAATACCAGAGGAACTGAATTAGTATGAAAACCTTGCCTGGTTGAAATTATTTGATAAGTATCAGAAAAAAAAAGTCTTGTTTGCTCAAGAAAATAGAAACACTTTCATTAAAATGTTGAAGATGATTGACAGAGAATGTGAAAGGTGTTATTTATGTGTTTGAGAAATAGGATTCTTTTTTTTTTTTGGTTGCCATACTTAGGCAATTGCTGGGGTTGGGGGAGTGGGATAAAATATTTTTTTTCCCCCAGAAATATAGTAGTGTTTCACATTGGTAGGGGTTAGATAAGATTCTGCACACTGAAGAATGATATCTAATGCTGCCTGGATACTGCTAATTATAACATTTCATACATTCACTATTGCATTTATCTGCTCTTGGTTTAGAATGGAGTAATAGAATGCCGACGAATGGCCTGTCCACTATTGAATTGTTCTTCTGATGGCCTTCCAGTCCATATAACTGGCCAGTGTTGCAAAGTATGCAAATGTAAGTAAAGATCTCTCCTCTTTCTATTCTAGAATTGTATGCATATATGTATATGTATGCTCAGATCATGACCTTCTCGTTGCAAAATTTAGGCTAAAATTGAAGAAAGTAGGGAAAAGCACTAGGCCACTCAGGTATGAACTAAATCATATCCCTGGTGAATATACAGTAGAGATGACAAATAGATTTAAGGAATTAGATCTGATAGACAGAGTGCCTGAAGAACTATGGAAGGAGGTTCCCAACATTGTACAAAGGTAGCAACTAAAACCATCCCAAAGAAAAAGAAATTCAAGAAAGCAAAATGTCTGTTTGAATTAGAGATAAAATTGCCAACATACGCTGAATCATGGAGAAAACTAGGGAGTTCCAGAAAAACATCTATTTCTGCTTCATTGACTATGCTAAAGCCTTTGATTGTGTGGATCACAACAAATTAAAGAGATGGGAGTACCAGACCATCATATTTGTCTCTTGAGAAACCTTTATGCGGGTCAAGAAGCAACAGTGAGAACTGGACATGGAACCACTGATTGGTTCAAAATTGAGAAAGGAGTTCGGCAAGCTGTATATTGTGCCTTGCCTATTTAACTTATATGCAGAGCACATCATGAGAAAGGCGGGGATAGATGAATCACAAGTTGGAATTAAGATCGCGGGAGAAATATCAACAACTTCAGATATGCAGATGATACCACTGTAATAGCAGAAAGTGAAGAGGAACTAGAGCCTCTTGATGCGGGTGAAGGAGGCGAGTGCAAAAGTTGATTTGAAACTCAACATTAAGAAAACTAAGATCATGGCATTCAGCCCTCTCAATTCAATTCAATTCAGCCCTCGCAAATAGATGGGGGAGAAATGGAGCTAGTGATAGACTTCATTTTCTTGGGCTCCAAGATCACTGCAGATGGGGACTACAGCCAAAAAATTAAAAGATGCTTGCTCCTGGGGAGGAAAGCTATGGCAAATCTAGACAGCGTACTAAAAAGCAGAGACAATACCTTGTCAACAAAAGTCAAGGCTATGGTTTTCCCAGTTGCAATGTATGGCTGTGAAAGTTGGACCATAAGGAAGGCTGAGCACCAAAGAATTGAGGCCTTTGAACTATGGTGCTGGAGAAGACTCCTGTGAGTCCTTTGGACTACAAGGTGATCAATTCTGGGAATGATTGAGGGCAAAAGAAGAAGGGATAGCAGAGAATGAGGTGGCTGGATGGAGTCACTGAAGCAGTCGGCGTGAGACTAAATGGACTCCGGGGGATGGTAGAAGATAGGAAGGTGTGGAGGAACATTGTCCATAGGGTCACAATGGATCAGACACAACTTCGTGACTAACAACAGCAGCAGTGCACATGTATATATGTGTAAAAATGTTATATATAATGGTACCTTTGTACTCAACTCCTTTGAAACTCATCAAATTTGGTACTTGACCCATTTTGACATGAACATTTTGTCCTGGTACACATTATTGTTTGGTACTCAACACACAAGCTTGTGACTACCAACCACATTTGTTGACCCCAAACCACACTTGTTGACCCCAGCCACACTTGTTGGTGTCAACTGCCTTGTGACTCATTACATTATTCCCTATGGGAAAAATTGTTTGTTACTCATCATTTTTGTACTCATCATGCCTCCTGGAATCAATTAATGATGAATATCAAGGTACCACTGTATATGGAAAACTAAGGTGGGACTAGAACTTACAGTTCTGAATTAGAGATTACAGTTCTAGTCCCCAATTTTTAGCCTGATTAATATAGGCTAGAAATATTAATTAAGGCATTTTAGGGAAAATTATTAGGATCTGGTAACACCAACCTGAAAGCAACTTTTATTTTGCTTTTGTAATCATATATTCAGGTATCTTCTATACTGACTTGCCAGATGGTGGCAAGATGGTATCTTTAAAAGGCCATCTATTATAGTTAACTGGTTAAGAGAGACTACCCTGTTTCCCTGAAAATAAGACCCAACCAGAAAATAAGCCCTAGCATGATTTTTCAGGATGCTCATAATATAAGCCCTCCCCCAAAATAAGCCCCAATTAAGATTTTCAGGCAGACAGATTCATTTAGTATCGTATTTCCCCCCAAATAAGACCTAACCAGAAAATAAGCCCTAATGCATCTTTTGGAGCAAAAATTAATATAAGACCCGGTCTTATTTTCGGGAAGACATGGTATATTGCATGAGCTTACATGAAAAAGTATTTGTGTAAAAAACAGAATATTCCAGAGAAAGTTTTGCATGTGGAGTGTCCCTGTTTCTTTTCAGAAACTGTAGAAAGTTAAAGACATCAAATTGTAAACAAATACAAAAGATTAAAAAAAAAAAGAGATGGAAAATAATCTTATATCATATATTTACTATAGATATCCCAAGAATGAAGTAAAAGAGCTTAATCATTCATTTTGCAAAGGTTATTGTCCAAGATAAGCAGCAATGCTTACAGAGAATCAGAATATACCATTACTGTTCATAAACATTTTAAATTCAATTCCAGATATTTCCAGTGGAATCATGTTCTGTCATTCTCCTCTGGAAGTTTGGACTAATGAATCTCAATAAGTCTATATCTCAAGAACCATCATGAGTAGCTAGTTTTAGAAAATACCAGGGTTTGCTGCAGAGGTGGGTTTCAGCAGGTTCTGAAAAATAAGAAAAAGTAGCAGAAATGTTGAGTAGTTCAGAGAACTGGTAGTAAAAATTTGACTGGTCCCACCCCCATCTATTCTCTGCCTCCCAAATCCCAGCTGATCAGGAGGAAATGGGGATTTTGCAGTAACCTTCCCCTGGAGTGGGGTGGGAATGGAGGTTTTACTGCATCCTTCCCCTGCTATGCCCACCAAGCCACACCCACCAAGCCATGCCATGCCCACTAAGCCACACCCACAGAACCGGTAGTAAAAAAATTTGAAACCCACCACTGATTTGCTGTACTACTAATCTACAATTTATAGAATTTTAAATAGCCTGGTAATTTTTTTTAAAGGTTTCTGAGTGCTGTAACCTGAACTTAAGGCATATTTTCTCTCCTGCACAGTTCTCCTATTCAACAATGAAATTACTTTATTTACTCCTTGAGAGAATCTAATAATAGAAGAGTTTGCAAGATAATTTCTACAATCTCAGAAAAGAGGCACCAAAGTACTACCTTCTACATTGATAGATACTATATTTGGATTGTTAATATAGCAGAAAGCATGAAAGGAAAATATGCTTTGTGACTTATAGTGAGACTTGTAGTGAAATATAAAAATAGAACTCCACTTAATGACTAATATCACACAACAAACTAAAACCATTGCTTGCTTTAGTCATAGTTTATTGAATGAACCAGAACTGAGTGGGTTTACATAATTAAAATTGGTTGTGTATTGGTTCATACAACTCTCTAAATCAAAACCAAGTTCTTGCAAGACTAATGTTAATTTGGGCACATAGTGCTAGTCATTAACCTTATCCGTCGTGCTAATTCTCTATAGATTGATTTCTCTGCAAAAAAAAAAAAAATCTGACTGTTTACAGAGTTTCTTTCTTTCTTTCTGGTTTGTTTTGAATTCTGGAAGATAAACTCTCAAATGAGAAAGTGAAAACACCCACTCCTTCCACACACACATCAAATAACAATCTTGTGTATTTGGGGATGGAGATTTGTGAGACATCTGCAATAAATGCATTACCTTAACATATAGATACAGGTAATCCTCGACTTATGACCACAATTGAGCCCAACATTTTTGTTGCTAAGCGAGACATTTGTTAAGTGAATATAACAACTTGTCACAGTTGTTAAGTGAATCACTGCAGTTGTTAAGTTAGTCACATGGTTGTTATGTGAATCTGGCTTTTCCCATTGACTTTGCTTGTCACATGGTGATCACATGACCCTGGAACTAGGGGTGAAATGCTCCTGGTTTGGACCGGATCGCCCGATCCGGTAGCGATGGTGGCGGGTGGTTCAGAGAACCGGTAGCAAAAATCCCTGCACCACTCCCATGCCCAGCGGAGCTGCGCAATCATCAGAGGCTGTTTTTTTTTTACTTTTAAAAGTAAAATTTTTTCTACAAACTCTCCGGCCAAAAAAATGCTTTTAAAAGTAAAAAAAAAAAAAAAGCCTCTGATGATCGCACGGCTCAGCTAAGATCATCAGACGCTTCTAAAAGCATTTTTTTCTGCAACCCCTTCATCTGAAGAGATTATAGGGAAAAAAATGCCTTTAAAAGCCTCTGGCAATCCCAGCTGACTTGCCTGATCATCAGAGGCTTCTAAAAGCATTTTTTTCTGCAACCCCTTCATCTGAAGAGATTATAGGAAAAAAAAAGCCTTTAAAAGCCTCTGGCAATCCCAGCTGACTTGCCTGATCATCAGAGACTTCTGAAAGCATTTTTTTCTGCAACCTCTTAAGATTGTAGAAAAAATGCTTTTAAAAGTAATTAAAAAAAAGTTGGCCACGCCCACCCAGTCACATTACCACCCCCACCACCAAGCCACGCCCACAGAACCGGTAGTAACAAATTTTAGATTTCACCCCTGCCTGGAACACAGCAGCCATCATAAATATGGGTCAGTTGCCAAGTGTCTGAAATTTGATCGTGTGACCATGAGGATTCTGTTATGGTCATAAGTGTGAAAAACAGTCATAAGTCACTTTTTTTTAGTACCATTGTAACTTTAAAAGGTCACTAAATGAACTGTTGTAAGTCAAGGACTACCTGAATTTATTGCCATCACATTACTTATACTTCGATAGAATATCTGTTGCTGGTTCTATATATCTCCAGTAACTAATTATCCTGCATAGGCACAAGTCAGGCAGATACCCATTGGCTGATGTGATTCTTATTCATCTTGTGTAGTATGGATTTATCATTGTTAAACATCTGGCATTGTATTTCTTCTAGTTCTTATAATTACTTGGAACAATTTGAGTAATTATCAGTTGTATTTCCAAATAGAAGAGAAAATAAAAGAAACAATATTTTGGGCAGT